TCATTCATTCATTCATTCATTCATTCATTCTCTCTCTCTCCCCTGCTGGATTCTATTAGCACCCTGAGGTTGGAAATGCTACTTTGGAATGGCCCAGGGCAATCTGATTTATACCTGGGAAGGATCAGCAATTCATCTTGTGCCATATAACTAAAACACATGTACATTTAGTGAAAGGAGAAATGGATCTGTACACCGAGCCAGAGCCGGCATGGTGTAATAGTTTGAGTGCTGGACTATGATTTTGCAGACCAGGATTCGAACCCCAGTTCATCCATGTAAACCCATTGAGTGGCCTTAGCCAAGTCACATCCTCTCAGCCTCAGAGGAAGGCAATGGCAAAAGCTCCTCTGGACAAATCTTGCCAAGAAAGCCCTACGACAGGTTCGCCTTAGGGTTGCCATATGTTGGAAATGACCTGAAGGCACAGAACACCAGCTAAACTGAACATCCTTTTCCTGCACCATTTCTCAGCCTCAGAGGACGGCAATGGCAAACCTCTTCTGAACAAATCTTGCCACGAAAACCCTAGAATAGATTTGCCTTGGGGTCGCCATAAGTCGGAAACAACTTGAAGGCACACAACAGCAATGAAAGGCGCTAGGGTTGTCTGGCTGAGAATTCAAAATTCTCTTCTTTTGAACTGCAAATCCCAGGAACCTACAGAATGGAGCCATGGCAGTTAGACTGGAACCATAGGCTGCATCTGCGCTGCAGAAATAATCAATTTATTTACTCTTTGATGGAGAAAGCCTCAACACCTAGTGTATGCAAGTGCTTTGGCCAAGGTGCGCCTGATCAAAAAACAAAGTTTCTGCTAGACATGTGTATTGGGAAAAGGCACTGCCATCTTCTAACTTTTTCTTGGGAGTGGACAACCTGTAGTTTAATTTGGTTTAAATTGCATAGTGGGGTTTGGTTTCATGACTCTCTACAGATACCAAAATCTGTGGATGCTCAAATCTCTATAAAAGCAATAGCTTGAGTGTTGGACTATGACATTAGAGACCAGGGTACAATTCCCAGCTCAGCCATGAAACCCACTGGCTGACATTGGGCAAGTCACATACTCTCAGCCTCAGGGAAGGGAATGGAAAACCTCCTCTGAACAAATCTCGCCACGAAAACCCCATGATAGGTCCACCATAGGGTCACCATACATTGGAAATGAATTGGAGACACACAACAACAAAGCAAAAGGTGTGCCTGAAATAAAATGGCAAAAATAAAAATAAAAATTCCTTTTGGAATTTATATTATTTTTGAATATTTTCAAACTGCGGATGGTTG